GGTATGTGCTGCAGGCTGTCTGTGCTTTGCCTTTTTAGTTAACCGTAAAACACACTGATGTCTGCCTGGTTTTGTTCAAGCAGAGAGGTAACACTTGGCTAGTCAAGATAACTGTGGGGTAGGGCAGCGCAGCGCTCCCAGAACAGAGAAGTTTAATTCAAGGACTTCATGTGAAATACGTAGAAAACTGAAAAGAAAAAAGAAGAGAATCGTTAACCTTATCGGGAAGCAGTTAAAATGCTGATTGGCAATACCGATATCATTACTTACTGACATACTAATGAGTAGTCACACTGTACTATGAAGGAGGATGTCTAAAATAGACTAATGCGACTACTGATTTTAAGATGTTTTCTTCCATTTTCTTCTGGGCTAAAAAAGCTGCAAACATAACGAATTACACATTACTCGCTGTCTCACTGAGAGTATCTCTGAAAGATATTTTTGCTTAAACAAGGACCAGTCACAAAGGCAAATGTATCTTAAGCTGTAACAAGGACTCGATCCTGAGGCCAGGGCGATATTAATAGGGCTCAGTCCTGCCTACAATGATTTGTTCTTACACTGGTTTAAAAGAAGTGCTTGTTTCTTTCTGTCCCAATTTTCCCTCTTCAAATCTCTTCTGTTACTTTCTTCTCACTGTTACCCTTTTTTTGCCTGTGCACACTGTCAGATAAGCGTGACATAAAATAACCCCCAGTTTTCAAGAAAAAGGAGAGGGAGGGGAAGTGATGTTCACAGGTAGACGCTGCCAAGTTTTATCTGCTAGCAGCCCAACAGGCCTGTTACGGAACACACTCGGGGCTTTCATTTGCTTTCCTCCAGTTTGAGGAAGACTATAATTTGTGACCTGGAGAATAAAATAAAGATTCCAAAGGCTCCTTCTAGGGAGAGCAACTTAATGTTCGAAATGCAATTACAAGACACGGCGATTTTTATATTCCAAAGCAGGCTACCCAGAAACACAATCAATACATTAAAGATGCAATATGAATAACCTTTTTACATTAACTGTGTATATTAGAAACAAAGCAATAATATTATGCTCATGCTTTGTAACATTTTGATCAACAAGGAAACTGTACAAGTAACAATCTGTCCGCGCAGAGCCCCTAGCTTTGGCCATCCACGTCTAAACACCAGGCTAACGCCTTCCAAAACACTGATCAGAAAACTTGCTGCTAGCCCTGGAGGAAACCAATGCCAGGAACTTTAGCCGTCTAATATTAAATATTTCGACCGGTGTCTTCCAGACTGAACGGAAAAGCTGCTACCAGCGTTGCACCTTGAAGCATCTGATGATTAGAAATAAAACAAGTGCCGTGGCCAGGACGGGAGCAGACGGCTGATCGCTGAGGGGGACCAGATGCGCCCGAACCCGGCCGTCTGCACTGGGTACGCGCTGCTGGACACGTCGGGTGCAGCAACTCGTATTCAAATATATACATACATGTATAATTTTATATAAGTCTACACATATATAGAAGTCTATTCATATATATATTTATATATAAGTCTATATATATATATTTTTATATATGTCTATACATATATATTTATACATATAAGTCTATATATATATAAGTCTACACATATATA